ATACTGATGATACAATCCTAACTGCAGAACCACGAGCAGAGTTACAAGAACAGGGTAGCTGAAACAAGCAAAGAGAAAGGTTGAACCATCAACGGTAAAAAGACGAATGTATGGTTGTCAGCAGCAGTGCAAAATGTGACCCACGAGTTGGAGATGTTACCGTAAGACAGGTATAAAAGTTTAACAACTTGGGAAGTAATAGCGTCAGATGGCAGATGCGACACCGAAATAAAAAAGTGTATAAGAATGGCAAAAGAAAGCTTTTCAATAACTGGAAAGGGTACCCAAGAACTACGTTGGTAAAGGAAACTAAGAAAAGAATATTGTATTCCAATCTGTTATCCATCTTGCTGTATGGTAGTGAATGCTGGACAATTCCATCCCAAGCAAGACAGAGATTTGAGACTATTGAAATATCCTACGGACGCATGCAGAGAATATCATGGACACCACAAAAGTAATAAGTGTTAAAGATGGCAGGTATCGAAGAAAAGCTATTGAAAACCACCAGGAAATGGCAGCTTGAATTTCTGTGACATGTATTTGAGAAAGGAAGGTCTTGAGAACTTAAGTCTTCCAGGACGGATTGAAGGCAAGAGTGCAAGAAGAAAGCAACTCACAACATATTTGGAGAGCCTGATAAACTGGATGAAAGAGCAAGTTATGGCTAGAGAAAAGAGCAAGATTTGATGAAAACACCAAGAGACAGGAGACAGTCGAGAGCCAAGATCGCCGAAGTCGTGAAGGAATATCGTACCTAAAGAAAGATCTGTGTATGTGCTCCACTGACCCTGCGGTAGTTATACAAATTGCTTATACAAGAGTCTACCACATATTAATCCGCTTCTATCTCAGATGACTTCTAATCTGTTAGACGAGTACTGTGAAAGTTGTAGATTTCTTTTCCAATTAGGTTAGTCTAAGCGAAATTTCTTTGAAAGACGCCTATATTCACAGAAAACGAATTTTAAAGGGTACTCTAAGTCATTGCTGTTACTAAATTTTGTTTAATTTCAGCTGACTGTTTCAAGGAAATGTAGAAAAACTCCAATTTCTTGCTTGGGCATGGGATACTCAAGCTACACTTTATATATATATATATATATATATATATATATATATATATATATATATATAATATATATATATATATATATAATATATATATATATATATAATATAATATATATATAATATATATATATATGTATGTATATGTACATATAATGATTAAACATTTTTTTCTGCATTCTATGTTTTATTCCTATGACAATATTTGATACTGGTGGTCCACCCTAGTACTTGACTCCCAGAATAGGTCTATTTCACCCTCAGTCTAAATGCTAGACATCAACAATCATTCTGTTCCTAGTCTTGACACCTAATGCGGTGCCAACACTCTGGTTTATCCATGATTTTTAAATATTCTTTCCATTCAGATTATTTTATACATAATTGTAACCAGTCAATTCCCATAAGAATGGGCCAATATACCATTTACAAATATTACTTTATTTTATGAGTTATGGTATGGGATGTTATGCTGTCCTATGTGGTTGGGCATAAGGTGGAAAACTAACAGCATGAAAGTGGACTTTTTTATGAATAATTATTTTGTTGCTTGTAACCTTAAAAAACAGGATTTATTTCCTAAAAGAACTTTTACAAGTGCGCGAACGACATCGCCTCATATTTTTACGAATAAAATATTCATCTGTGGAAAGAGATACACAGTTTAGACAGTATAAATATATTTTTAGAGTTATCATAGACAAAATGATTGAATTCACTGTAAATCAAAAGTCCGATAAAGCAAGAAATAATTTATAACATAAATTGCATTCTGGCAACTCATCACGTAAACAAATACACGTCAAGAATTGTTCAGAAGGGAGCGAGAAGATTACCATATTTTTTACATTTTCCTCCTTTTTTATCTACTTTTGTCATTTTCCTCCATATCACAACCACGGTGAGTATTTCTTCGTGTAATTAGAAGAGGGAAGTAGGTAGTAAAACGTGTGGTAAGAAAGGAGAAGGAAAAATAACATGAAAAATGTATTTCATGTGTTGAATATGCCGGTAGTACGAATACAATACTTGTTTTATATTTATTTCTTGTCTTGCCATTGATACATTTCTCGGTTTGTTTTGGCTTCCGTTGCTTTACACTTTTGGCTTCTGGTTAGCAAGTATCCAGAGTAGCTTTCAAATAATTATATTGCTTATATTCTGTCCAAATCCACATGAAAGGATGTTGTCTGTAATGGAAGACTTACAATCAAGTCCAACATGATGGCAATACATTGTCATGTGATCACTGGGATCTCCATGCCTTGCACTCTGGCAAATGCTAACAAACAACCTTTACTTGTATTCAAGGGTTGATATTTACAGTATGGATGCACTAAGGGCCAGTTGAAGATGATATTCAGTAATTGTTACCGATAGCAATACACACTCCCAGAGACAGAGTTCCAAAAGGGGGGGTTCATTGGATATTGCAAAGCTTCAAAACAGGGAAGGGGTTCATTGGATATTGCGAAGCTTCAAAACAGGGAAGGGGGGGAGTGGGGGAGAGATGGTACAATGTCAATATGAACTTGTAAATATCAATAGGGTATAAGTTAAAGACACCAACATGCGTAGATAGAGGGAAATGGACACCGCCATCTTACAGAGCAGAAGAAATAGAAGGAGATTGAACATAATTTAAAATGCGGCGGCCTTATAGTAACTGCTAAATGACGAAAATATAACCTGCGGACGCCACTCAAATTCAAAGTCTAGCTACTTGTTTACCTTGCCAGGAATAACAAAACACCAAACTAGTCCAGACTAGTTTGTGTTACTTTTGTTACTATGTGTTTATCAAAATATTTTCCAAATTATCAGTGTCTGCTGTTACACATTTATGCTTTAAAGTCTTTTATTGTTATACGTCATTTGCGCATTTTAAGATTTATCTATACCCTTGTTTAGAGTGTTTCACACTTTCTTTTGCCAGACACAGGTCGACGCCTCACCAGCCCGCTCATTTAGAGGTAGAACGCCGGTAAGAAATGTTGCTTTTCCAATGTTGTGTTGATTTTAGGTTATTTTTAAGACTTATACAGTGGTAATGAAGAATAATTAGACTTTAGTAACCATCCCAGTTTAATATCCGGGCCTATCAAGAGATCCAAATAACGAAAAGAGTGATTAAAATCAAAGGAATCCAGACGGTACAAAGAAGCAACAAGTTTGATGTTTACAGATATAATTGGTATTTGGTTTATCATTTTATGGTGTGAATGTAGCTCTATCTTGCCGTACATAGGCTACCGAGGTGAAGGAAATGTGTCCTGGGGGGTGTTGGAAGGAGGAGCCCCCCATCAACCCTCCCCTCAGGCAGTGCCCAAAGGGCGCACCTAGTCATGGCAACTAAAATTGATATATTAGGTTGGTTTATTGGTCAATACATTTTTCGGGGGGGTGGAAACTTGTGAATTCCCGTAGAGTTTTGCCGAATGGTGGGTTGGGTTCCCAAAGAGTTTAATTGACTGATTTTAAGCAGTTTTTGGGCTAGTTTTATGCATTTTTATCATTCTTATTTAAGCCTTTAAGTTTTACGCCATAATTTCCCTGATATACTTCATGCCCTCCCATGCTAAGGGGACTAACAAATCAAGGTCGTTGATGGAGAAATGGTACTCGATCTCCAGAAAAATTCATTTGCACAAGAAACAATGCTGAGAATAGATAAAATAATTGGATTTCTTGCAAAAAAACATCTATTTTTTTCGACTTAGTCTCTAGGAGGGTGCGTCGCTCTCTGTAACAAATACTATAAAAAGAAAATTATTTAGATAAAAAAAAGTTAAAAAGTAATATTTTCTGAAAGATGAGCCAAAATTTGTGTCCCTAAAACAATACAAAGGCCGTTTATTAAAAAGGATGAATGAAACTTTGTCCGAAGGACACCGAATGAAATACATTGAAACTAAACTATAAAAAATCGCTATACGCACAAACAGGATATCCGAAATACAGACCTAATATTCTACATCATAAGAAAACCTGTGGATATCCTGCAAACCCAAAAACACAAGCCTAAAATATCCAACATCTACCCCCCTCCACCATCTTATTTGCACCTTATCAAATTATTAGAATAATTTTTATAACAATATTTTACACATACCGCCAGTGTAGAGGGTAGAGACGAGCTGCGGCGAGGAACTGATGTAATCTTTTATTTTCGGTCGGGTATACCATCGTGAAAATGGCCGAGGCCAAATACCTGGCGAAGTCGCAACTCCACCTGCACTTTGGCTTTGGCCTCCCTCCATTTGTGCTAGATCGTATTTGTATGTGCTTTAGTGTCAGGGTCAACAAAATTGTATGAATGATTTAGAGTTAAATATTGATAGCCCTCTTTTTCCAATTGTATGCCTTCCAACAATCACTAATGACCATTGTCCCTGGGTGGATATGCTCCTTAATGACGTTAAGCAAAGAGAGAGTCACGCGTCTCCACGGGTACAAAAAAAAAATAATCCCTACTCATGCGTCTCCACGGCATACTCCTCCAAAATCCCACTGACCTTTTATTACTCGACCAACATTATATTTATGTTTCCTAAATTTAGATTCATCAATCTCAACAATTTCCCCTGACTCACCTATTTTGTTGGATTGATTCTCAAAACACCTATAAATTAAAACCTTCCGACAGAATCCCACCCAATCGCAAATAGACTTGTTTGGGAAATTCAAATCGCTCTGTGCAGATTCATAAGAAAACCTCTCTCAGATACAAATGTACAAATTTTTAATTACTACACTACCACCTCCATCCCCTCGTCCCATACCTCAACCCCCAGATACCCCTCCTCTTACCTGTCAGACATACATTGTCACCCATAATAGTTGTAGAATGATCCACAATGGCTCTACTGCAGTGGAACATTAGAGGCTTTCGCTCACACAGACCTGACCCCCGCCATCTTCTCTCTTATAATCCATCTATCGTCTGCCTCCAAGAAACCTTCCTCACACATCCTCCAGTACCAATTCCCAACTACTATTTTGCGTCACTCCCTCATTCTATATTTGCTTCTTCCATACTTGTTCATCATAAAACACCATATATCATACCTCCTTTATAAACTACTATACCTTGCACAGTTATCCGGATTTTCCTCCGCCACTGGATCACAATTATTTCAGTCTACTTCTCTCCTTCCCTCCCTATTGACTTCCTAGAATTTGAGACCTTACTTTCCCAACTCCAATCTCCTTTCCTAATAGCTGGAGACTTTAACTGTCGCCATACTCTTTGGGGTGACTCTATTATCAATACTAGGGGTCGCTCCTTGGAACAATTTCTAGCTAAAACTGACCATGTCCTCCTAAATTCCAACAGTCCCACTCAATTGACCTATGCACTCAACCTTTTCATGCCTAGATCTCTCTCTTTGCTCTCCTATCCTTCATATAGACTTTCGCTGGTCTGTCCTAAACAATTTTCACTCTAGTGATCACTTCCCAGTTCTTTCTTCAACATCCTTTATCCCATTACCAAATCCCCCTCGCTGGTGCTTTTACAGAGCAGACCGGAGTACCTTTACCTCTCTATCTACTGTTGAAATTCCTCCATCATCATTCTCTATCACCTCAGAAATGCTCCAATACTTCACAACTAACGTTTTAAATACAGCCTATATAATCATCCCTCAAACATCCCAACCTTACACCTCAAAATATGTTCCATAGTGGAACCTTCGTCTGAAGCGTGTAGCTTGGAATAGCTACCGACACAAGAGAGGCACCCCCAGTCAACTAACAGCCTTCATATCCTTTAAAAATGCATCAGCCCATCTTCACCGTACAATCTGTAACTTCGTGACAAACAGCTGGCAAAACTATGTATCCTCCATAACATCCTCCAAACCAATCTCTGTAGTCTGGCGGCGGATCCATAAGTTATCCGGAAAACATCCTCCTCATCCTGCCCCCATCCTCCATATTCATAATAACCTCATCTCTGACCCTCTTCAAGTAGCTACTGAACTTGGTGCCTATTTTAGCCAAGGCAGGAGTGGCTCTCATATTTCTCTTCATTTCTCTTCCTTAAAGTCAGGCAAAGAGCGCATTCCTATCTCCTTCTACCTATCATCCACAGAACCTTATAATGCACCCTTTTTTTCTGAGATCTATAATGTACTTCAGTCATGCCGCAACACCCATGAAGGCCCAGACGGTATACATTACAGTATGCTAAGACACCTTTCTCCTACTTCCTTATCCTTCCTTCTTTCAATATTCAAAAACATATGGACGACTGGAAACTTTCCTCCCCACTGGAGAGAAGCCATAGTATTACCTTTCCTGAAATCTAACAAAACAGGTACTCTTCCCCAAGACTACTGCCCCATAGCCCTTACAAGCTGCCTATGTAAATTAATGGAAAGAATTATAAATTTCAGATTAATGTGGTACCTAGAATACCACAAAATCATTTCACAAATCAACTCGGATTTCGTCTTGGCAAAATCACAGATGACCCACTAGCCTATGTAGAAACATTAATCACTTCAGCATTTACACGCGCAAGTCAGTGTTAGCTGTCTTTTTCGATCTCGAAAAAACATATGATACTACTTGGTGCCACTATATACTACAACAGTTATATCCCCACGGAATACGTGGAAACATGGGTGTTTTTTATAAAATCCTTCCTCTCTGACCATACCTTCTGTGTCAGACTTGCCTCTTCCACTTTCCCCTCCTTTCCTCAATTTGAAGGTGTCCCACAAGGAAGTGTACTGAGCACCACACTGTTCCTCATAGCTGTAAACGGATTAATATCTGCTTTACCACCAAGAATCTATTCATCACTGTATGAAGATGATCTAGCCATCTTCGCCTCCGATCGTTCCATAAAAGTTCTCCATCAACTTATCCAGTCGTCAATAACATCAATCTCTTCCTGGGCTACCAACCATGGCTTTCGTTTCTCTACCTCTAAAACCTTCTCCATCCTTTTCTCTTGTTCACGTATAGGCTCCCAACTTCCACTCCTCCTTAAATAATACCCCCATCCAATCCTGATCTTCCAGCAAGTTTCTTGGAGTTATCTTGGCGGGATCATATCCAATCTATTAAAGAAAAAGCTCGCCATCGCCTCCGACTATTATAAACCCTCTCCACCCTTGACTATAGTTGCCACATATATTTTTCTGCCTCTGCCTCTCTTCTCTCTCTCCTTGATCTTATCCACCATTGTGGTCTCCGCTTAGCCCTAGGAGCTTTCCGATCCTCTCCAGTTGAGAGCCTATACGTTGAATCAGGACTACCATCCCTCTCTAGACGCCACGCTCTTCTGTCCCCAAGAAACCATGCCTGTTTCCACCAATTTTCATGCTCCAAACTAACTGTCCGTCAACCTCTTCTTAGTATCTTCTCTTCCTTTCCACGTTTATCTGGCCCTTTCCCTGTTCGTATGGATGCTCTTCTTTCCCATTCATCCTTTTCTCATCTCCGAATTCTTCCTCTTTCTACCCAAACTTTCCCTCCCTGGTTAGTACCTGTCTATTGTAATTGCTCCTCGATTTTCCCTGATCTACCAAAGTCAAACATTCCACCTTCTATCCTTCTCACACATTTCCTTGCTCATATCTCTAGTCACTCCTCTAGCACTCATAGCTATACTGATGGGTCTAAATCCAGTTCAGTTGCTGGTTTTGCCTTAGTTCTTACCTCTCAGACATACAGCTTTCCTCTTCCACCTGAATTGAGCATCCTTGCAACAGAACTTTATGCTATCCTCTTTGCTCTACAATGCATATCTTCCATCTCTTCCTCATCCTTCACCATCTTCACTGACACGTAACTCAATATCACTCATACAATCCATACACCCTACCAACCCTATAGCCCATAAGATACACGACCAGCTATTCTATCTGTCTACACAACAGAAAACAGCGAATTTTTGCTGGATACCCAGCCATGTCGGGATTCCTGGCAATGAAAAAGCAGATGATTTTGCACGATCTGCTGCCCTGCCCACAAGTCACCAACCCCATTTTTCACACATCCCAGCCACCAACTACTACCCCCACTTCAAAACTTTTATTTACAACTGATGGCAATCCTTCTGGTCAGGTCTGTACACTAACAAACTCCAAACCATAAAACCCTCAATCTCCCCTTGGTTAGCTCCATACCATCAAAACAGACGTTGGGAAACTGCCCTTGCTTGCCTACGAATAGGCCACACCAGAATCACTCACTCACACCTCATGTCACATTCCTCTAACCTACCTCTATGCCCTACATGCAATGTCCTTCTCTCTGTCTCACTTATCCTAATATCCTGCCCTCGCTTTACCGAAGCCCGTACCCTTACTTTCCCTCACATATCCCTTCTTCCCAGACCCCCCAACCTGTTAGACATCCTTACAGAATCCCCCACCTTTTCTATTGATAATTTATTCTCCTTCCTCAGACGCATAAATATCCTTCATTTGATCTAACCATCCATTGTCCTTAACTCTTCCTCTTTTCATCAGTACCTATCCTACCCCCATCTACCCTCTCCTACTCCTTCAAATTTTAACATTTTAACTCTAATAAAGAACTTTACAAACCCTCCCAACACAATACAATACCATAGTGCTATATGACCTTTGATGTCTAGGAAATTTATTTTCTTGTCATTATTACTTACTTCTCTTTTGGCCACAGCTCTTGAACACTGATACTAATACTCCCCCACCCCTTCTATACATTCCAAACCCTCCACCCAGGTCAATACTCAACCTTCAGAATGCACCCATTCCTCTCCCAGCATTAACCACTCCATCCCCACTGTACAGTCTTCTTCATTGTCTACCCCTTCCCCCCTTATTACTACTATTTATCCTTATTGTCCTCCTCCCCACAATACTACCTCACTCCACACTACCCCATCTTCCTCCTGCTCTTGTCTTTCTATTGCTTCCAGCTCTACAAACCTTTGGCCCAGCCAAGTGGGATTGATTCTTTGTGATTCTCCCCACTGCCCCTTACTATAACAATACCCTTCTCTTGCAACAATGTCACCAAAAACAAGTAGACAAAGTTTCCTTTCATAGTCATTCTGATTGTTCACTCCTTGTCACGGTTACATCAGAGTCCCAAGCTCATACACTATCTACCCTGACCGACTCACTGGCAAACCTTTCCCTGACCATCCTCACTCCTTTTACTGTTTCCATTTCCCCGACTGATTGTCCTGTTTATGACAAGGACTGGTCAGATGGCTTGCCTGTCTCCATCTTCATGTACCTCATACATCTATCCCCTCTTCTCCTTCTCACAAGAAAACCTTTGTTTCTCAGACCTTCCCACTCCAGAAACCCTTCCAGAAACTCTTCAAGACATCCAAAGCTTCCTATTCCTCCTCCTCCTCCTCCTCAAGTTACCCATACCCCATTTCCTCCCACTCTTTCCCAACACACCCCATCCTCTCCTCCATGTGCACCATTCCCTCTTCGTTACCCATTATCCTTACCTCCCCCACCTGGATGCTAACATGAATCTCTTCTGTCGCAATGGTGTCCTTTTTCGATCCCTCCCCTCCTGACATTCTGCCTGATACATCACTACCTTCCCCTGTTCTCTTATATCATTACCTGGATTCTTCTGATACTTCTCCAACAGCCACTTCTACCCTTATTACTGGTTGATTGTTTCATAATGGCTCTTTTACTAGTTTTCCTTAAACAATGTTCCTCTTCCTTTCTCAGCCACAAATTCAATTTCATCCAATTGCCCAATGCCCTTAACCCTTTCCTCTTTTACTAATCTCTGCTTCACTTCATCTACTCTCCCTCTACCCTTTTCACCACCATACTATCCTGTCATACTGTAGAATCTAACATATATTATCCTAGTCGTTAACTCATTTTTACCCTTTTCGCCATAATACTTTACCATAGTGCTGTATGACCTTTGATGTATGTCTAGCACACATATGTTTTTAACCATTAACCATTAACCATTGAAAGCTTAAAATTCATAAAACATGGACAGACTAACACATATCATCAGGAAGTCACATGCAAGTTATATTTCAAGTGCACAATAACTTTAACCTTTATTTCATTTGGGTCTCTCATATTTTCCATCTTTTATTTTTTTTTGCTAGTTCATACACATATGGTATGTAGTGATAGAATTGACATATTTCAAATAATTTTAAAGAGTAATCTTGAGATCAAATGCTGTTGGATCCAGTAGAATGAACATATATGCAAAAATAAGTGAAAACCTTGAAACCAACAGTTGTAATACCACACCTGCTACCCCATGAATGACGTGCATTGAGGCTTATCATCATAGTGGATTTCTTTCATACTTGCACGAGTATCAGAGTGCCCTTGACTCAGTTTTGACTATGGGCTGCCCAGACAGTCCCCATATCTTCCCACCCTCCACTTTTCTCTCTCATTCATTTATTTATTTATTAATTTGTTCATTTATTACTCTTTCCCCAGCCATGGTGCGTGTGGTGTTCCTTCACCCAGACCTGGGCATTGGTGGTGCAGAACGCCTTATTGTGGATGCAGCTTTAGCCCTCAAACGCAAGGGTCACCAGGTTACTGTGTTCACCAGCCACCATGACCACAGCCATTGTTTCCCAGAGACTGTTGATGGCCAGCTAGAGGTCCACTGTGCAGGTGACTGGCTTCCCCGGTCAACCTTTGGCAAGCTCTATGCTCTTTGGGCTTATGTAAGGATGATATACCTGGCACTCTATTTGGTTCTCTTTAGCAAGCTAGAGTATGAGGTGGCCTTCGTGGATCAGGTGGCAGCCTGCATCCCTTTTCTCAGGCTTAAAAGACAGAGTAAGGTTGTCTTCTACTGCCACTTCCCTGACCTCCTTTTAGCAATGGGGGGTGAGGAGAGGGTAGGCAGGATGGCCAGGAGAATGGCCAATGAGGGGGTGACGGAGAAGGAAATTGAGGAGGAGACAGGGATAAGAAAGAGACAGATTGAAGACACAGAAGGCATGAAAGAAGAGAAAAACAAAGAAAAGGAGGATAAAGTAGATGAAGACTGGAAGAAAAAGGAGAGCCCAAAGTCCTCCCTCTTGAGAAAGTCATACCGCTTCATCCTAGACAAGGTGGAAGAGTGGACGACTGGGCAGTCTGATTGCATCCTCGTCAACAGCCATTTCACAGCAGGAGTCTTCAAGGAGACTTTTAAATCACTCAAGGTAGTCTTTTGTCACTTTCAGTAACTGGATGTAGTTAGACTCCATGAATTCTTTATTTCACATTTTATTGCAGATGCATTTTAGACAAGAGCTCTTTTGAGCAGTTACTAAACTCTGATCATATTAGGGATATTTTACTTTGAGTGCAGATATATGCACTCCATATGTTATACCTCCCTTCCTTGCTTCTCTTTTTTAAAATTAAATATGCTTCATTTTCTTTTGTTACAGGTAACGCCCCAGGTGGTGTACCCATCTCTAGACTTTGAGAAATTCACACCCTTTGAGTCCCTCTCTCTTGAGGATGTGGGATTGGACCGCATCCTGCCCCAACATCCCGCAAAACCCATCATCTTTCTCTCCCTCAACCGCTTTGAGAGGAAGAAGAACCTACCACTGGCCCTTGAGGCACTCAAGGTCCTGCTTGAGGGGGACCTGGGTGACAATGGCCAAGACCAAAAAGACCAGAAAGGAGACATTCTGCCTTCTCTCTCAGACCTCCTTCCCCTCGACCCTGATATATCATCAAGGATTCTCCTTGTAGTAGCAGGTGGGTATGATTATCGTGTCCAGGAAAATGTCCAGCATCTGGAAGAGCTGGAGTCATATGCCTCTCGCCTCGGCATCTCTGAACGGGTAGTATTCCTACGGTCACCTCCAGAGCCCCAGAAGGCTGTTCTGCTGCGAGTAGCAAGGGGACTACTGTACACACCAGAAGCTGAGCACTTTGGCATTGTCCCCCTTGAAGCAATGTCCCTAGGGACCCCTGTGCTAGCTGTTGCTGGAGGGGGTCCTCGTGAGACAGTTGTGCATGGGAGTACAGGGTTCCTCCTCCCTCCAGGAGAGGCAGGAGGTTTTGCCAGGGCCATGGCGGTATTGGCTAGTGATTCCGAGAGGGAAAAAGACATGGGGATTAAGGGACGGGAGAGGGTCCTCAGGGAATTCTCCAGTCAGAAGTTTGAGGAGGAGCTAGACAGGGTAGTGAAGGGAGCATGGAAGGGTCAGAAATAACTTGTGTGTACTAAGTACAATCAGATGTACTAATAGTGAGCGAAGAAAAAAGTAAGATGGAAAAAAATAATGAGTTCTGGTGGTAAAAAAAGAATTTTAAAAAATTAAGTAAAGCCAAGGATAAAGCCAGAAAAAATTATTCAGAAACAAAAGAAATTGGTAGTAAGCGAGAGGAAGAAAATTGGTGATTGAAACAGAAAAAAAGAAATTCTAGTTTGACTGTGATATATTTGCAAAAAAATGAAAATAAAAAACAATAGTTATATATTTATATATTTATATGAATGTGTTACGGACTAAGACATTGTTATTATTGCTTTGTATTTGTTAGTGTAGACATTGTTATTATTGCTTTGTATTTGTTAGTGTTAATATTATTATGATTATGATATTGTAACTTATCAGTAGTAGTAGCAGCAGAAATGTTTTGTTGTTTTCATAATTTTTATGAGTTATCAGCTGTATTATAGTCATTATGATGTGAATCATTAGCATACTTTTGCAGGTAATTCTTTGGTTATTTTTATTTTGTATATTTGAAATAAGTTTTCTTATGATTATTATTATGATTTATATACATATTATTCATTGTATGATTTCAGTGTGAAAAATATTACCAAATAAAAATTATAAACTTTATTTTATTATTTCAAAGATCCAGTATATGGAAAATATACCTAGTGCTGCATTCCAAAGGACCCTTATCACCACAGACTGTGAGCACCAAGCATAAGAGGTTTTAACTACCGGCCAGTGAGTGGAAGTGTTGTCATCTTTGTGAGTCTCAAGGAGAGGGAGAGACAAGGCTGACTGGCCGACTGTATAGATAAAAAAAGACCGAATTTTGTCACAGCTTCATAGTAACTCTTTGAACTCTACCATTTTGTTTACTAGACAGATATTTTCTAGATTGATTTCTTCTGTATAGGAAATAGACTGACTGAAACAAATGTAGTCACTACTTCAGGAGTGAAATCAAGATTGTGGTTATGGGGACCATGGTTTTTCTTGTTTTTGAAAAATGTAACCATTATGAAACTGCTGAAATGTGTATATATATATATATATATATATATATATATATATATATATATATATATATATATATATATATATATATTTTTTTTTTTTTTTTTTTTTTTTTTTTTTTTTTTTTTTTTTTCAACAGAGAAAAATTATGTGTAGTTAAAAAGGGACAAAAGTTAATGATGTTTTGGCCTTGAAGTTGTGCTTATTAAAGGAATGCCTTCTGTTGTATCTAAAATTTTTAACACTACTATATCTAATCATATTTCCAGGAATCCTGTAAGAAGATATAATTTTATTCATGTAATTATCACATGACAGATAATTTAATTTGGATAGTGAAACACAAATATTCCATAAATGATTTATTTTCCAAGGACTACTTACTGAACACGTGTTATTCTAAGGTTGTCAGTCATACAAGTACAAAAGGATCCCGTATAGATGAACAGTCTAGGAAAGGATATCAGTATGAACGTTAATATACAGTTTACAATATGACATTGGGAGCAGGATCTCACATGGGGTGGTGGGCACATGCATCCTGTACTTTAGAAAATACAATCTCGTGAACTTTTCACATGTCTGACTTTACTTTTTGAAAGTGTATTGGTCAATTCCATTAGCAAAACAGCCAGTTGCTATATGATACTTAAAATTGTGTAATATTTAAAAAAATAATTTTCATTAATTTTTTTCCTTTCTTTCTTAAACTGTCATATAGTTGAGTGCACAGGACGAGGTGGGCCCCTCACACAAAGTGGTCACCTGCTGTAAATATGATGAGTTTTGACTGGGGACGACACGTCATTGTGACCCACGCTCTTGTTTTACAAAATACTATACACATTTGCAAGCTGAGTCAGCCAACATGGGCTTCCTCCTTTCCTTTTTTTTTTTTTTCATTACAAGCATAAAATTCTCTACTGTGATTCACAATAAATGGGGATATAATTAAAGGGAAAAAATTGTAATGCAAATCTAAATATGACCAAATTAGTTTCTTTCTTTCCTTTTTTTTGAGCCACTGAATGCCAAAGTTGGCTGACACAACTGCAAGACGACTCCCTCAGCAATACAACACCATGATGAACACCACCTGTGTCCTTTAAGCTTGATCATTTTTCTCTGCCATGGGGTTTTTCTCTTCCACCAATTGATAATCAAATTTTGGCTACTGAAATTGTACCAACCTCCACCAGTTATGCACATGTTAATAGTAACATTCCTTTATACAAAATTTCAATACAAAATGGATACATACAATTGTCTACAGTTAATGCAAAATACAAAAAGAGAACTACGCCCACCTGTGTACACAATGATGATTAAAACTGGTGTTTTCACAGCAGAAGTAATAATAATTATAATAATAGTGATAACAATAATAATAATCATAATAACTATAATAATAAAGATAATTACAATACCTTTAATCGTACAAAAACATAAGAATGATTTCATTACACTTCAAAAAGAGCTAAACCTAAAACAGGTGCTTGTGGAGCTGAGTGAGTCACGGCTACAGGTCCCCAGTTAACAATCTCTCTGACAGGACCACTTGTGTCCATGCAAGCCAAAAGTCACTGGCAAGGGCTGCTACTCTACAGCATCCTACCCTGTGACACGCATGGAAGGACAGTGTGATCCTTACAGTGACCTGCAGGGGATGCGCTGTTTGTTTATTGGTCTATCTCACCATCTTTGTACACATAACAGTTTGGATATAATAGAATCCTGCCAAGTTTTCTTCCTTTTTTTTCTTTTTCCTTACTTTCTTTAATTTTTATTTCTCTTCTAAGGTGGATTTGTGAAACGTTCTTCTATTTCCAGGGTATTGGGGGAGAAGGGGAGGAAAGATGAAATGGTCCAACCAAACAAAAACAAAAAAAAGGAAAAAAAGAAGAAGAAAAAAGAAAAACTGACAGATTCTCTATGTTGGATATTTAAAGGTGAGAACACTGAAGGAATCGGTGATTGGTTTAAACTGTCTTTGACAAATTGGGATAAGAAGAAGAAGAAAAACAAAGCCCTCAGTGACAATGCCAAATAAAAAACAATTATATATATTTATATATATAAAGAATTTCAGTTATTATGAACTTGATTATTTTACTTCCTGAGAGCTTCTGGTTTCTATAAATATAATTTTGTTCTTAATCACCATGACATCAACCTAATCCCAGAGCGCCACAAATTACAATCAATTAAAGTTATCCGTCCTGACAATTAATTCACCTTTTTGACTGGCTATTAACCCTAAGAATCCAGAAGCTTAAAAACAATAAAGATTAGCAATAAAAACAGATTAATTGGAAAAATCTTAAATAATATGCATAAAGAGGAGACCATATAATATGAACTCTTGGCACACTTTATTTATGAAAAAACTCTCCCCCTGTAAAGCCCTGGCTAAATCTAGAGGTTCGGATTGGACTGGAATAGACATATTAAAAAAGTTGTGCAGTACAACGTAATGATAATGTGACTGCTAGTTAATTGGTTAGTCAAGAGTATACATACAATGAATCTTAGGCAGACGCAGTATATACACACGTACAGGGTATGTAGTTTGGTATATACTGGTAACCAAGGGGACAACTTATTATAAAAGTGATAAAATAGATTGTGTGTGAGCGTGAGTACAAGTCTTGGCCCAGGAGCTATTCCTTGCACAGTGCATTTGTCAACTGGGATTTGCCAATTACATATCATCTTTTATCTATTGATTCAAGTTACTTAGCTGTTGTTTTTTTAATAATTCTATATCAGAAATACAACCGATATTTTCTTTTCTTTTCCCTTCATTCATTTTCTTTTTTTATTATTATTTCTTTTTACCTTCATTCCCTATTTCACTAAAGTGAGCAAGTTTTCTTTCTCAAAGAACTACAAATACGACAACTTTTTTTTTTTTTTTTTTTTTCTTTTTGCTTTATTGTTCATCACATTTATGGTTACTAGTTGCAAAAAAATCTCTTCCTGGATTAAAAGACTTTTTAATTCATCATTGTTAGTTATTCCTCAAAAAATTGATGTTGGATTTTGATGGAACTGTCAAAAGTTCACACCAGAAAACCCTGCCCCAAATGATGGCTGTTTGAAAATGATAGGGCAGGTGTGCAACCGTTACCATAGTATAAATGCATTACTCTAGGTCTCCGACGGTAATCCTCACTGTCACCGTTGTCTACTCTAGCTGTGTAGTCCCTTCTCATTATATCCATAAAATAATTTGATTAAATGATAATTCCTCCAACCTTAAATATTAAAAAATATAATACATACTACACAATTGTAACCCACACATCAAAAAAATAATTCTTCAGTTTGGTGCACAGCTTATACAAGCACATATACATTGACTTTTCTTTTTTCAAAGATTTGATCACTGATGATGTGCATGTGAAGTACAAACTGCCTGGATGTAGTATAATATTCATTGCCATTTTGGAGTTTCAGTGACAAAAATCCTATGAAAAGTATGATCTTTTAATTGCAAGATTCTACATTCCTTCACCATGTACACTCATCACTGCCTAGCACTCTAATGAATAATTTTTCATCAAATGCGATATCATTATTCACTTACAAAAGAAAAGGGAAAAAAAGAATCAAAACACCAATGAGCATCATCATAATCAGCTTACGTCAGAACTAAAAACTCTCATAAATGTGATCTTCAATGTAATGTTACTTTTTACATTTTCTTTTTTTTCTTTTAAGCAAACCCCAAAGAACCTGTGTGTAAAATGGAGAGGGAAGTTTGACCAGGCCCAATGCAGACAGTTCACAGCCAAGGAGAATCCTATTCCTAAGATGGACTTACCAAGGCAATCCCTCATCTGCATAAAGTACCCGAGTCCTTTGCACCTCCATTTGTGCACTCACACTACAAGCAACCAACCTAAATTTAACTACTGTGCTGATTATGAAGATTGAACAGTGAGGTTTATTATTTTTTATCATTTAAAAAAGTATGAAAAAAAGCTCTAAAATAATCATCTTTTTTCTTCCCTAATGACCCAAATGTCATATTCCATATGACACAAAAAGTCATAACCATCACATATAAAGAGAAAAGATCACTATAGAAAGGCAGGATTTTGTTCTAATCAGACCATTTTTTTTTTTTTTTTACCACATTTTTCTTGAGTTTATTTTGGGAAATACAAATATTTCTCACCATCTATACAAACATTCTTTAAAAAAAAG